GGACTAACGGAGTGCATTTCGTATAGTTGAGGGATCAAAAAAGTGTAAAAAATTGTTGAGGGATCAAAAATGTTCATTTTTTAAAGTTGAGGGACCAAATCAAGCATTTAACCTTAAATTTTTATATGTTTTTTTTATATTTTAAAAGAATAAAATATTTATTAAAAAGCTTATAACTATAATATAATATAACACAATATTAACAGATAAAACCTAAATGTAAGTTCTAATAAGTTGTTTCCATTTTAAAAATTGACAAATCCATCAAATTGTTTTCTAAACGAGTAGAATTTGAGTTCAAGTATCCTAGGTCCTAGTTGTACTATGTGTATACATTGCTTCCGCCTCCCCCAAAAAACATTCTTATACCATGTAAATTACGTGATTGTGTGAGAAAAAGTTTATAACTATGTTGTCCCATGTTTCCGAACATTATCCTACTCCAGCACTTTGCTTCACCTTTTTTATACACATACACACTCCACACCATTACTTTTGCCATTTTCTCTGTCTGCCAAGCTCCTAAATTCACTCTTAAAAGATGATAGGGACAAATTTGTCGCTTAAAAATTTTAAATTATTTATTTAAATTATTAATTAAAATAAATTATTTATTATTTAAAGTGTGATGTTATTATATATTAGTTTTTTTTTTGTTAAAAATAGTTTTAGGTGGCAAACGAATTTATAATATATGATGATATTATATGTTAAATAATAAGTTATTTATTTTAATCAATAATTTAAATAAAAATTTATCTCATTTTTTTTAGGTAAATATGTCCCTGCTTCTTTGTTCAAACTTGGGGTTTGACCTTCTTTGTCCAGTACTTCATGTTTTCAAGTTTAATAGTTATAATTTGATTTTTTTGATTTTTTAAACATAAATTTTAGATAAAATTTTAACAACTTATATAAATCATAATTAAAAAGTTTTTTTTTTCTATATAGAGTTCTTGTTGAAATTTTTGTTAATCAAAAAAAATTTTCAATTATTATTTATATAATATATTAAATTTTCATTAAAAATTTATATATGAAAAGTCAAAAAATCAAGTTGAAACTATTAAAAAAGAAAACAAAAAAAGTAATTCACATGCTCCATTTACTTTTACCCTAACCTTTTTACTCCATCCCTTAACATAAATAGAAATAATTTACTCAATTTTTTCAATTTTAGTAGATTTAATTTTTAATCAAAACATTCAAATTTAATTGTTTATTTTTTCTTTTAAAGAATATTTGCTCTTATTCTTATTTTATCTTTATTTTAAATGACAATTACAATATAAATTCAATAAGAAAGTTTATTTAAGTAATGATTACTTAGAAATAAATATGAAATTTTATTAATTAATTATTACATCTCTATTTTACTTGTTCTGTTTTATAGTAATAAACTTTTTTTATTTTATTTATCTTTAAATTAAAGATTTGGGAATCATTTTTATTTTTACCTATTTTATTTTTAAGAAAATAAATAAAAAAATGTTTATGATAGAATGGATAATTAAAGTTAAGAAATAATAATAAAATTAAAGTGTGAAAAAAAATATGTTTCTTTAAAAATATGAAAAAATGATTATTATTTTGAAATAAATTCTTTATTAAAAAATATCTATTATTATTCTAAAATGGAAGATATTAAAAAAAAAAAACTAAATCTACTAATTAAAATCAAATGAAGGGCAGAAATTTTCATTTTTTTAAAACACAAATCCAAAAGTTAAAATCAAAAGATTTTCTTTTTTTTGAAAAAAAAAAAAAGACAGTAAAAAAATTGAAAAGCTAAAATTTACCGATGGTTAGAATAGGCTAAAGAAATTACAAATGGAATGAGACACACTTTATGTGCAGGAAATTCATGACCACATTTCTGCTTTCCTCTTATCTTCTTTCCTTTAGCTAAAAACAAATTTTACAATTTCCCTTTAATCCCAAAACCCTTATTTTATTTTTATAAATGAAGTCTTGTTTAGTCACTGATGCTGGATCTGTTCCTTAAACCAGCCATGTGGATCTTCTTCTCCGGAAGGGAAAGTAGGAAAGGGTTTTGAGGCCGTGGAAAGTGATAGAAAATCGACAGTGAGAAAAAAATGGATTTTGACGAGCACGAGGACCAAGAGGAAGAAATGGGCATGGCGGCACCACCTGGGTATGACACGCTGGGGAACTCGGGTCGGCCGAATATGGGTCCTGCTGGAGCCGGCGAAGGTGGGTCAGCAACGGGGAGGAAGGGAATCAAGTACCGGGAGTGCCTCAAGAACCATGCTTTGAGTATTGGAGGCCACGCGGTGGATGGTTGCTGCGAGTTTATGGCGGCGGGGGAGGAAGGTACGCTGGATGCTTTTAGGTGCGCCGCGTGTAATTGTCATAGAAACTTTCACCGCAAGGAAGGTGACGGTGATGGGGTTTATCACCATCCTCAGCACATCTCACAGTTCTCCCCTTACTACCGGACACCGCCACCGGCTGGGTACCTGCACCTGACGCATCCTCCACAGCACCGGCCGTTAGCACTTCCGGGCACTTCGGGAGGAGATGGAGGCGTTGGAGGTGGGGGTTACAACAGAGAAGAAGAGGATATGTCGAATCCGAGCAGCAGTGGTGGCGGAGGGAGTGGGGCGTTGAAGAAGAGATTCAGAACCAAATTCACCCCGGAGCAGAAGGAAAAGATGCTGACCTTCGCAGAGACACTCGGATGGAGGATTCAGAAGCATGACGAGTCAGCTGTGGAGCAATTTTGTGAAGAAACAGGTGTAAAGAGGCCTGTACTCAAGGTCTGGATGCATAACAACAAGCACACCCTTGGTAAGAAACCCTAATTTCCATAAAAATGAAAATGAAGCTCGCATTGGCCATGTGAATTCATTACAGATTCTGCTAGGGTTCTTATATTATTTTCTTCATTTTGATAAATTTATGTTGTGTTTATGAGTTAGATAAGCTTATTCTATTTCAAGGGACACTGCTCAAACTCGATTTAGCTGCTTCTTCTAACCGGAATTTCTTTGATTAATTAAGGGTTTTTTTAGCTTATGTTACATAATTTGTCTTCTGCATCAAAAAGAGTCTTGCTTTTTTCCGGCAACGTCGAGATGGGGAAGAAACTGAAGATATAGAATCAATGATCAAATAATTATGATGATTAAAACTTCAAAGAAGGGAAAGTAATTCCAAGGGAAAATGTAAAACGTGTTTGGCATGCAAAGATAATTCCCACATCTGTCAGCTTCTCCTTACTTTCCGATCACCCTCTATCTCTTCTCTTTTATATTAATTTCTTCAAACCCTAGCTCACTCCACCCCAAAAAACCCTCAATCTGGCCACCGCCGCCGCCGGTGAGGTTTCTTCTCTCCTAAACTCCTCGTCCTCCAATATTGTCATTGCTCTCTATTCTATGTGCCTTTGAGTGTTGCAGCCCTTTGTTTTTTTTTTTCCACAGCGATGCATACTGGCAGAAACAAATTGCATGGCGGACAGTCTTTCTCAGTTTTATTGCAGTGTTTACAGAACTTTCTGACCTCATCGATGAACGTCCAAAACACCCTTTTAATTAATTGATTAATTAAATTTAAACCATAATTAAAATAATTAATCTATAAAATTCATTCATCTGATCGTTATGATCATAATAAGTCGAGAGTGATGTGTGTGTGTTATAGAGAAGAAAAAGCTGTCGGGAAAACATGAGTCGCGCTTACTGTCCCAATTGAGGAACATGTGGGCTCTCTCAACTAGTACAAAATCAGAACAAAAGTGATTGCTTCTGACACTACAACTATGTGCCTTGCTGTCTCGTCCGTCAGCCCGCCGACGGTTGAGACTATAAGCCGACGGTTTTTCTTGCGGATGGGCCGAAGTAGGCCCATAATTCGTCATTTTTTTTTTTTCCTTGTATCTATGATTGGGTTAATAATAATTTCTCTGTGGATTTTATGGGAAACGAATCAACTTAATGCGTATTTTGCAAGGGAGAAATCATGGTGATCATGTGGGGGGGCAGAAGTAGGTGGGCACTGGGGGATAGAAGTAAATGCCGTTCTTGACTTCTTGGAAGTAATGGCTATATATTGGGGAAGAAAGAGGTGAAGACGTGGTGATGCGTCGGCATCAGTGATTTTCTTCATACGGGCTGACATGTTCTAATGCCTCCTCCCAAATCCCAATCCCCGTGATCGTGATCATGAGTCATGACTTTCACCGTTTCTACTCCGGTGATCTGGGGTGTTTTGTATCGTGGAAAACAACGACGAAGATGGAAATTAAATAACTTTTTTACCCGGAAGAGGAAGAAAGATTATTGCTGTTAAAATCTAGAGTTTGTTTTTTTTCGGTTT